ATAGATAGATAGATAGATAGATAGATAGATAGATAGATAGATAGATACGTACATACATACATACATACATACATACATACATAGTTACATACATAGGTAGGTAGGTAGGTAGGTAGGTAGGTAGATCGCAACATAGATAGATAGGTTAGATGGATGGATGGATGGATGGATGGATGGATAGATAGATAGATAGATAGATAGATAGATAGATGATAGTTACATAGACAGATAGATCGTTAGTTACATAGAAAGATAGATAGGATAGATAGACAGACAGACAGAAAGATATAGATAGTTAGATAGATAGATAGATAGATAGATAGATAGATAGATAGATAGTAAAATAGATAGATAGTTGAATAGACGGTTAGATAGTTACATAGATGGATGGATGGATGGATGGATGGATAGATAGATAGATAGATAGACAGACAGATAGATAGACAGATAGTTACATAGATGGATGGATAGATAGATAGATGGAGAGAGAGAGAGAGAGAGAGAGAAGATAGATAGATAGTAACATGTTAAGTGAATCTGGCTTCTCCAATGACTTTGCTTGTCAGAAGTTTGCAAAAATTAATCACATGACCCTGGGACACTGCAACCGTCATAAATATGAGTCAGTTGCCAAGCGGCTGAATTTTGATCACGTGACTGGGGGGTGCTACAACAGTCGTATCTGTGGAAAACGGCCATGGGTCCCTTTTTTGTCAATGATGTCATCATTTTGAATGGTCACTAAATGAGTGATTGTAGGCAGTGGCGTGGTGGCCTAGAGGTGGAGCTCTCCCCTCTCAGTTAGGAGGCTGTGAGTTCGATCCTCAGTGGAGGCCAATGTTTTTCTCCCTGGGAACCATGAGAATATATATCTCCTAAACAAAACTCCCTATTGGTGACAGGAAGGGCATCCGGCCATTCAAATGCTCTATGCGGTGGCCCAGACTACACCCCAATGCCTGGGATGATGGTGTCTTAACGATGATGATGGTGACTAAATGAATGATTGTAAGTCCAGGATGACTTGTACACATCGACCTAAATACGCCTGCACAATTACAGTATGGTAGGGGGTTTATTTGGCGGGACCGGAGAAGCGGCTGGGCGGAGGGGGTGAACCGGTGCAGGGGGGCAGGAAGGGCCTCCCCAGGCTAAGCAGGGCTGCCGCCGTCCCCTGGTTCGAAGGCCTGGCTCGGGGGCCTTGCCGGCTGCTCCTGGCTGGGGAGGCTCGTCCGGAAAGCCTGGAAGGAGTCCAGCTGGTGAGCGTTGAACTGGGGCATCAGGGAGGGGTCCACGCAGTGGGACCACTTGTAGTGGGACTTCAGCCAGCGGCCGCCGTCACTGTCCTCGATGCAGATGGCAGCGATACCTAGAAGGCAGAGAGGGCAAAGTATCAGGTCCGGCTTCACAGCCCACAGGCCAGTTGGCTCCCTTCCCGGCCGGATGGGATGTAACAGAATGACAGGGTTGGAAGGGACCTTGGAGGTCTTCTAGTCCAGCCTTCCTGCTCGAGGAAGAGATTTTACACTGGGGTGTGTGTGTGTGTGTCCAACCTTGGAACTTTAAGACTGGTGGACTTCAACTCCCAGAATTCCCCAGCCAAATGGCTGGGGAATTCTGGGAGTTGAAGTCCACCAGTCTTAAAGTTCCCAAGGCTGGATCCTCTTAACCTGATACCACCCCAGACAAATCGCGCTCCTGTTTCTTCTTCAAAACCTCCAGTGTTAGAGTGCCTGCAACATCCAGTGGCCAGCAGTTCCACTGGTTAATTGTCCTTCACCGTCAAGAAATTCCTCCTTAGTTCTAGGGTACTTCTCTCCTTGGTCAGTTTCCATCCATTCCTTTCTTGCTCCTTCCATCCTTCCTCCCTTTCTCCCTCTCCTTCCTTCCTTCCTTCCTTCCTTCCTTCC